TTGACAGCAGTTTATTGTCAGCCATGAAACCATTAATCAGATTAGTTTCCTATCTTTTTAGACATGGACTGGAGCTACTAGTTGCTTGTCAGATTTAGGTGTGTGCCTTTGGGTCTGTGTGTGTAAACAGTGTGTAAGGTGAGGAGGAGTGGCACGAGCCCACTTGCAGAATGAGATGGATTGAGCAATTGATATAAAGGATATGTTGGTAACTCCTGTATAATATAGAAACACAAAAATGGACTGAGGATTCCTCTCCTTGGGACTTCAGTCCTCTGCTGTTGAAGATTGCTCTTTTAAAATCTTCCATGAACCTTAAAAACTGCATTTTAAAATGTTTTTAAGGATGTTTTCTCCTATTAATCTGCTGGAAGGTTGTGATGGTTAGAAAAGTACTTCTAATTCCTGATCTATATCTATGTATATGTTAAGGAACCAGTACTGTGTTTATCTAACTGAAAATCATTTTTCTAAGTCATCCACAGTTTTCCTTTTTACTGCCTAGAAAACCTTTTTTTAGTTTAGTTTTGAGATCCCTTCTCCTTTTCTCTGATGTTTCAACTATTCCTTCTCTGCAGAAGGGTTCAGCAAAGAGATTCATCACTTTTAAAGTTGAATCTTTTTGAGCATACATGAGTAGAACTATGCAGCATACCACAGAGGAGGTTTCTTCAATCTCTTTTAGGCTGGCATTGACAGTTTACTGCCTCTGTTAGAACTATTTTCTCAGTATATACTCGGATTGTCTTTACATTTAGCATGACAATGATGAGAAAAATGTGAAGCTCTTGATTAAAACTCACAGTGCTTATGTAGGATGTAGCAAGTGAATCACAAAGACTCCCAAGCAAAGTCTAAGGGCAGAATGAGTTGAGTAGAAATGGTTCAGTAACTTTGCTGATGTTGCATGCTGAGTTGATGTAGTTTTACCTTGTGTTCCTCCTTGTTTTTTTCTAAACCTCTCAGGTCAATGAGCAGCTCTTGGTAGTGTTTGTTTCTGGAAGATTTCAGACGTCCATGTAGTAAAAAAAATTGTGGAAGGCTTTCACTCTTTTACTTGCAGACTAACAAAAATCTAAGACATTTAGGAGTTCCTGTTTGTGTAAACAGAAAATGAGCTAAAGTATTCTTGAAACTATTTGGATTTAATTTTATAAGTACTGTAAAATCTGTTATTGTATCAATTTAATCAGATGTTCTCAGAAAAACTTCCGGATTTTTTGTAACATCTTGTTTTCTCTAAGGAATGATATTTCATCAAAACTCTGTGAGGAAAAAAAAAAACCGCAAATTGGTTATCTCCATTAGTAATTGTTCATTTACTCTGAAAAGTTTTCTATTTTTTTTTTTTTTTTAATGTTTGGAAGTACATGAAACGCAAATTGGTTATCTCCATTAGTAATTGCTCATTTACTCTGAAAAGTTTTCTAGTTTTTTGTTTTTTTTTTAATGTTTGGAAGTACATGAAACAGTAAATTCTTCTGATATTATGAGTTTCTTCACTATAGAATAATTTCCTCTGTCTTTCTGGAAATAAAATACTCCAAAATGTTCATACATGTTTGATTCTATACCACTTCAGCTTTTTTTTTATTCCTTTCCTTAATTCTTCAGGCGTGCACGTGGAGCTTAACAAAGTATTACTGTTAACACTTAGAAAGAAAGCATTCCTATTTCAGATTTCATAATATCTGCATCATGAATTATTTACATCCCTTCACCTCAAAAGACTCTAAAAGGGGGTAACTTGTTAAGAGACAAGTGAATAATGCACAATATTTCAGGAATTTGTCTTCCATTATCTTACTGAAGTGACTTTTTACATACTGGTTTCAAGTTTTAAAATACTAGGAATAATACCTTTGTAGAAACTCTTCTGCGACATCTGCTGCCTAAATTGGCACTTGCAGTATAATGCTGGCATATAATAATAGTAATCCTGGCTGGAATCCTTCCAGTTCTATCAAGCTCTTTCAGCTTCTGATATGTAATTAGTCTGCTTTGGCCATAGTCTGACCAAAAGCCAAAATTAAAATGGGTGATAACATTTCTGGAAGTCATACTACCAAAACTGGACTCCTAAATAGAGTGTAATGATGGTAAAGGTTATGTATGGATTTTAAAGTATTTTAACAAGTTGAAGAGCCATCATTTTTTCAGTTGGGAAGCTACAGCACAAGGGGTCTTAATAGGAACAATGACTTGGTAGGTGCTCAATGGAGAAAAAAAGGTCAATGAGATCCAAGCATGTAAGGTCCCATACATGGCTTTAGAAAAATCTTCCATCAAGGTGGCATACCCACTGTGACATAAAGAATTTATATATGTAATGAGGATGTCAAAAGCATGTGATTGTTTTTCAAAGATTATGAACAGGGATACAATAGTAATGACAACGGGTTGCCTTCCACTTAAGCTATAGACAAGGACAAAGTCTTACAGTAGCATATTGTACTATGGAATAATTTTCTGATGTATTTATGATACTTTCATTGCTCAGGGTGAAAGGATGAACTGTACACTTTGCCTTTCTATTTTTGTGAACTTTACTAACATTTATTACAGCGTTATGGTAGATTACTAATTTATAACAAACCTATTGCTTACCTATAATAACTTATGAGAATTTTTTTTTCCTATCAGTCTGTATTAACAATGGGAGCTCTTCAAATTGCCGGATTATAAATGAATTTTTATTAAAATAAGACAAGCAATAAAAGTATTAAGGCAATGTTTTTCAGTTTGTCAGAATCTTGTGATGATACAGGCTGCTGCAAAAACTAAGCTGGATATTGTGGGGAAGTGTCTGGGAATTATTTTTTTTTTCAGTAGTAGGTTATGTTGTTGTGACAACTGAAAAAGACTGTTGAGTGTTTCCCTGGAGAACATGAGGAATCAACCTTAAAGTTGCTCTTTCTGTTTTAGAGTTTATCTAACAAGCATATTAATGAATCTTGTTTTCTGAAGAAAATGTACATCTATTCACGAGGAAAGTTGCCATTAAATTCTTTCAGCTCCACAACATTCATTGTGTGTGATATGATCCAACTCAATTTCAGATCAGCTGAAATAGGTGCATTTGCACTTTTCCAAATGTCTACATAATCTAGAATTATTAGACTTCCTAAGTATATTTTCAGAGCAAAGATCTTGTTTCTAGTGATATATTAATAATGATTGCATAATTAATGGATAGGGAGAGTCATTAGAGAAAACATTCCAGCATGTTCATGAAAAAGGAAACTTTGAAGGAGTCTTGGAACAAGCTGGTGCCCGGTATTCAGACATATGTTCAAAATTCTCTACTGCTTAGAACCAGAACTCTTCTGAGATGCATCAGAGATACTCAAAGACTTTTCGTGGTCTCTTAGAGTAAAGATTATATGGAAATAAAGGAGTGGTTTCAACAGGGCTATTTCATGCCAGGTTCCTGAGTTTCACTGCCCTTTCAGGGGTTTATCTCACTACAAGACCAGCTCACTGAAATGAGTCCTTGAGAAGAGCTCAGATTTTGAGAAGAGCTTAAAGATTTTTCTCAATCTTTAATAAAATATATGGTTTATTTAATCACTTGATTAGTGTTTTCTACTAATAAAAATGGGCTTTTAACATAAGAAAATTTAATATAATTTTACTATTCAATTAGTGTAAAAAATAATCTCAAATTCCTAGGAAGAGAGGCTGAATGCAGTTGTTCCTGTTGTATAGATGCTACTGAAATGCCCACAACTCTGGCTGTTTTGCATTAGTATTAATAATACTGTACAGTGGGGTATCCAGTTCTCTATAGATGGCTTTTAGTTTTCAGTAGTGTTTTATTCACGCATTTTTCAGCATGTGAAATACAGGCATTACGTTTTTGTTAGACACAGAGGCCATCTTGTGGCAGAATGTTGGTACTTGTATTAAAATGCTTCTAATTTAGATGGAAAAATGAAGTCCAATTTGTTGCACTATTTCCAGTATTATTTGTAGTACTGTCATACATTGAAGCATGATCATAATATACTTACATTCTGACAGTATCTGCTCAGCCTGCAGCACAATATTCATTCCTAAAGAGAAGGCAGTGATGACAAAAGATCTGATGCCAAAATGTGTCAGGGCACTGAGAAAAGTGTGATCATATTTTCCGCTAATAAGAAGACAGATTGTATTTAAGAAACATCTTTATTTGTAGAAAAAAAATTTAAAATGAAAGTATGGTTATGCCACAGTGAAGGGGTTAAATTCCTTATACAGTTAAACACTGATAATCCTGCAATGCAATTTTCTCATTTATAGTAATTATTTGGAAATGTTGTAAATATATGACCTCTGAAAACAAAATATCCAGACTATCAATGTGTAACCATTACCATGATAGATAAAAGTGAGGCAACAAATCCAGCAAATTCTGGAAAAAAGATTAGATTTTCACCTGCAGTAACAATGAAATCTGCTATGACATTCACAAGGATAAAAAACATTCACTGAGAATATAAAACACAGGATTAATTACTAACAAACCTGAAAGTAAGAAAAAAATTCCTCTGTCTGTGCATTATAATGATCTATTGTTCTTTCATCTGAAGAATCTGGTAGCTATTATTACCAGATGTAGAGTAAACCATATAGCATGGAACGATTAACAAGATTTTGAGAAAGTATAGTGAATAATTCCTCGTGTTTAAAGTATACAGAATTATGATTCTATGTCAATTGAGTATGGTATGTGCAAACAATTAAAACCCTTATAAACCTATGCAGACCAGCCTATAATTCTTCATACCTATATTTTAATATTGCACTTTTCCACAGAAGAAGCGTTCACTTTCAGTAAGCAATGTCAGGGCTATTATACTTTGCTTTAGTAAAGAGGTTGCAACGTAACAAATAAATAAGCAGTCTGATCCCTGACCAGTATCGCTGTCACTTGTTCATCTAAAGATATCACAGAAACATTCACACATTTCAACAAGAAAGAAGAGAAATAGGCCTGTTAGTTGCCAGTGATTCTGTCAAATGAACATTTTATTTTGCCACTTAAAACGAAGTTCTTCTGAAAGATCACTTCTGCCACTCTTCCGCAAATAGCGAGACAGGAGCTGCTGTTTATCAGCTGACCTTGGAAGGGTCTTTTTCCAGCAGCAAAGCAGCTCATAGATCTGGTGTGTTAAATTATCAGGGCACTTCAGCCTAACAAGCTGAAGTACGCTCCGCCGTACAGGTAAGCATAAAGCAGGCAATGACGTGTTATCTTCTGCAAGCTCTTCTGCAAGCCAATATAGCAAGTTGTCCCATAGGGCTCCTGAAGGGCAAAAAAATAGTAAATTAAGAGCATTATTCTTCTGCCATGTAAATCTATCTTTTTTTAAAAAAAAAGCTTTCTAAAGCTGGAGGCTCAGTGGATGAACTCCCCAACTGAATATAGTTTGTTTTTTACTTTAATTGAAACATCATCGCTTCTTCTTTCTAATGTAATTTTTGGTAACTGTACTACAACATGAAGTGAATTTAGTCAAGCACAGATTCAGCAATGATCTAGAACTTTTGGAAATGCATGAAGAAATCCAGCAGTAAAATAAAAGGTTTTGGGCATTTCCTATAACTAATATACACTGCAGTCATACTGAAGCTTCCCAGTACAAACTGAATCTCGTATACAGAAGATTAGATGTTGTTCAAGCACCCCACCACAACTTTATCTTACAAGAGTTTTTGCATTTCCTGGTAAACAGACCACATTTTTTTTTCTTTTAATATCTTTTAACACATTAACTACTCTGATTCCTGAACACGGCACTTTAAAGTGTCAATTACAGCTGAAGCAAAACTTGGCATTTAAAAAAAAGGAAATAGCAGATATAGTTATTATTTGTATTGATATTAATATATTATGTATGTATTCTTACCCAATGAATCAGAAGAAATTCTTTTTGTGCTCCGTGGACGGTTGATCAACTTTTCATGCTGTCAAAGAAAATGTGTTGAGGCAAGAGAAATGAGAAAATGAGTAAGGGTTAAGGCAGGGGACAGGGCAGTAGACTGCATTTAAGCAGCACTTAAGATTAGTTCTACCTGCATTAAAGATTGGTTCTACCTACAAAGAGGATTTGTGTCATGACTGAAAACTAGTTAACACCATCAGCAGGTATAAATCAGTATACAGCTATTAAAATAATGAAACTAAGTCTGTTTACACTAAATGGATGTTTATTGCATCTCAATAAAAGGTTTAAAATTTATGCAACTTTACCAATCTTTGATCAGTAGCATTATGTCATGATACATCTGTAGAAACTGGGTGCACATCTCTATGGAACCTTCATTCATGAAATGGATTCTACTTTTGAATACTGAATGAACTTTGCCTTACTGTCTCTGTGTTCTTATTACAATTGTGTGCATACCATATTGTTTCAAGGAAAATAAGTTTCTAGGTATGCAGGAGCTATTGTTAGGTCTAGAAATCATACTATGTTTGTAGCTATAGTTATTAATTTTGCATAGTTAAACGTTTATTTATAAATCACTAAAATTAATCAGAATTCAAAAGACAAGTTCCATTAGAAAGTACACAGTTCTTCCTCTTTCTTCCTCTGAACACTGGAGAGAAAGAAAAAATACTTTGTCCTTTTTCCCTATGACTGAGAAAGAGGAAAGCCCTGTGGGCTTTACTGTTGTTTCTTACTCCATATAGAACAAGAAATTATTTACATAAACTCTGAGAGCAAGAGATTAATTGGTATCAAGTGAAGTCAGCTCTTATTTTTTTTTAAAGCTGTAGTTGTCCTCTTTTAGTGCCCGTGTTACTTTTGTCACACATATTCAGTTGTACTATCTGGCTGTTTATGCACAGCTTTCCCTGTGAGATTTGCTCCAGGTTTATTCACTGAGCTTCTTTTTTCCATTTGTGAAGTAAGAGCATGAAACTCTGAATGGATAAATTACTCTCCTTTTCCTGCTGGGCATACTGAGCCAGAGCTTTGCTGACCTTGTCTTAAATACTTCTATAATACAGACTTTATATATTGTTCAATATTTGGGTTGTTTCATATGTACTGAGCTACACATCCAAAAGTTCAATATAAACATAACTGTTACCTATTCACCTGTGAATTAAACAACTTTTCATCAGGCCTGTACTCGGTCATCTCTGCAGGGGGTTTCAGTGCGCATGGGATGCACAGAGCATGCACGGTGTGGCAGTGCAAAACCATCCTCTGCCATACTCATCTTCAGCAATTCTGTAACCGGACATTCCCTAGTGTGAAGGTAGCACAAGGCTGAGAAACTCCTCAAAATAAAGGGAATATAAAGCTCTTCCAGAAGGGGGCATTGTTTTTCTTCCAAGACTGAGCTTTCTTTGGCTTAATTTAATTATGCATTATATTTAAATGTATTTTTGTTTGTTCATGAGATTTTAGCACCTCAAAGGTCTGTATGAGATTTTCAAAGTTGTTGTAGATGAACTCAATTACCCATGCATTGACTTTAATCTGAATCACTTTATGCTACTTAATTATAAAATGCTAGTATAAATGATAAGACTTGAAAATTAGTATTGTCTAGAAATAGTGTAATAATATACACTGCATTAGATATAAAACATTAAATCTGCCTTTAAATATTAAATGACTGTGGTGAAATGCTAAATTCACCCATGGCTCAGCTGCACTGGCATGTGGCCCCGCTGATCTGGTTGACAGAGTAAGTAAAATACTCTTAGCGGTCAAAACAGTTTTTTGGTCTGGAAGGCCCTTCAATTAGCTAAGCAACTGCCTTTCTGAAGCAGAGGATCACATGCTATTTTGCTGTTAGACATAAAACTTCAGCAGAATAGTAATTTGATAATGTTTGTATGTGTTACAACAACCTCTTTTTGCAAAGCATTCTGATTTCAGCCAGTAATACTGAAGTGCTCTGTCAAATGGACCTCTCAGACATGGCTAGACTCTAGTAGCATATCAAACAGGACGGACAGAAACGGAGAAATTAACCTTTTAAACTCTTTAGCCCAGTTTCCCATAAATACAGCTGCTTTGAAATCAGTAGCAATATTACTGATATGCACACACATACCTGACTTCAGAACCTAATCCACTGTATTTAACTTGTGTTGAAAATAACAAGTTTGTCCAACCAGTGTTTTCTAATGCCAGGGAAATGAAAGGAGCTGTTAGTGAAAATCAGCTTACTTCCGTGCAAGCGTAGCATCTTTAAACTAAAAACTGCTGTGAATGGTTGCACACAATAAACCACTGCTTTGACCACTGTCAGAAATATATTTGGATAATGTGGGCACATAAATGTAAACAAATAAATGTCCTATAATCTATACAGTTACTGTCTTCTATCCATAATTCACGGGAAATTTAAGTGGGAATTTTACAGAAATGAGTGAAAATGTAGTCAGGGAGGGTTGCCTTAAAAAGATTCCATCTGTCTTTGTCACAACCAGAAACAGGCATCGTGGATGGTTCTAACTTTATCATTTGGCCAAAAAAAAAAGAAAAAGCCAAAATTAATTTCATTTTACTGAGAATTTTCTATTGTTACTGGCAACACTGTGATCTCATGTGTATTAAAACTAATCTGTTAACATGGTTAAACTAAACTTAAGATATTTATTAACTCAACAAAGTAGTAGAAATGTAAACAGTCTTTGCTGTTCTTGCCCTGCCTTTACTGCTGTTTTTTGGATTTTATTCCCAATCTATTAAAGGGTCCCCCAGCAAACAAATGTTTCTGGTGAATATGTTAGCATGGATCTGTATGGGACTTTAATAGTAATCATCTTCCTTTGAGAAAGCCAATCGCTTTTTCCTATTCTTTTCTTTCCTATCTTTCTGCCAGATAACAAGCCAAAAGGGAATATTTTTTCACTCTTAAAATTTCTGTGAGTTTGTTCAGTATGGAATTCAAGATTTACTTGGCTGGAAGAAGGCATGAAGAGCAAAACACTGAACAACATCATCAACAACTTTGTGTTAATGAATGTTATGTACCACTAGACAGTGGTGTGAGTGAAATTCCCATTTTCCTTGTGTACTTATGTATGTATACGTTGCATTTAATTTGCTAATTCTTCACTAAAGTCAAATAATCATCTCTATAACTCTTCAAAAAGATGATAACTGAACTAGCTAAATTATTAAGGAATATTTAATTTCTACTAAAAAACCTGACTTAAGGCATTATCATTCCTAAATTGTTAAGCTGGATGGATGGAAGATAGATCAAAAAGTAGAAGGGTTCACCAACTACAGCAAAGTTTAACATTTTGTGTACTAAGATGACTTCCAGTATAAGGGAAGATGTTATTTTGATGCTATTCTTCATTCTATAGAGAGGCATTTCATTCTGTGTAAGACAGAAAACAGAAATCACATAATGAAAAAGTTACCAATATAAAAATGTTTTCAAGCATTTTGATCACTTTTTTTTTGGCCTAATATTTGCATTTAAAGAAGAATCTGACTCCTTTGAAATGCACCTCCAGAAGCAAAAGAAGAATTATTTGTGAGGTGCTGCAACACTGATTTCTGAAGTGATATAATAACTATCTCTCTAAACAGACTTTTTGTGCATCAAACTTGGGTCCTCTGTGCTTGAATTGATTCAGTTGAAAGTAAAGGCACTACTTAAAAAATAGATGTAGAGAAAATATTCTCAAAGGTTATCACCATTCTTGAGGTTTGACTTAATTTCTAATTTACCAACAATGATCACATTACACAGTTCCTTTGTTTATTTCTGTCTTGGTGTCAGGACCACCACCACCACGTGGTCGCAACACCGCCTCCCCCCTCCCACTCCCAATGATCACGTTACACAGTTCCTTTTTTTATTTCCATTTAAATGAGTAGCCTGCCTGGGTGCTACTGTGTACTCATATGTCATATATTTTACTTGGGAGAGTGGAGATGGGAGAAATAAAGAGGTACGCTTACAAAATGTATTTACAGGTGATAGCTTCAGGAAGAGTGAAGTCAATTAAATTCGAAAAGAGAGAGATGCTACTGGTTACCACCAGAGATTTAGACCAAGTGATACTGTACATATTTTGATGTTAATGGGTGAAAAACTTCTCCTAAACATTTTTTTCCATGCTCACGCTTGGATGAGGATTCATCCCACCTGCTAAGAGAAATTATGAGGGTGTTTGTACATTGCTGTTGGAGCAGAACTGCTCCATCAGTGACTCCTGTGTGTATATATAAAGCAAAAATTGTACCAGGATCCTTTTGCCTAATAAATATGTGGTAAGGAAAAAAAATAAGATGTCTAATGTTATCAAGTGAGAAACTCACCTTTGGTAATGTTAGTGCCAATTTACACAGGGGAGAATGGGGTTGGTATTCAGCATATGGCAAGGTCTGTTCCCATTCCTTGGTTATCATCTCTCTGGTAATTTTATAAAACACTGCTGTTCCTTTGTAATGAGGTGAACTGTAGTTACCAAATTCATCCACTTCTTTAATTTGGAGCTCCAGCCTGGCTTTTCTTTGTGAATGAAAAATCAGCCTGTAGACTTTTCCAAAATCTTTTCCATTCTCTGCAGTCCATCAGGAAAAAAAATAAATTACACTGTATTTAGATGTGTGGCACTTTAAATAATTAATTAGGGTGAAATAGAGCTAATTGTTTAACATTTGGTTGTTCATCATTATCGCTACTTTATATTGAACATCTGAGGTTAAAACATTCCTGCCAGCATGCTTCAGTAGTTGAAATGTCTTCATACTTAACTGTCTTAGCCCCTGAATTGCTGGCATAAGGAATAAGTGGTGAAGGCTGTGTTATAAGCTGAAAAGTAAGGAACACAGAAGGGGATAAAGTACATAACACAGAGAGAAATAAAAATAAAATGTTTTTGTGAATTAAATTAGAGGTATATGCTTTCTTCTTATTTAGAGATGGATGTTTGTAACAGCAAAATGAATAAGGGCAGAGAGGTAAGTACATTTTCAGGATTGGTAATTCCGTTTTAATTGATATATCTATAACACTATCCCCTACATGGATAGGAAGGCATTTCTTGGGGGCTGGAGACATCTCTTTTTGAAGAATAATCCTTTCTTTAGGGTTAAATGGAGTTTTCAATGGGAGAATTCATATACAAAATGTTCAGAAGGCCAAATATATATTTATACATTACTTCCAAAACTGACAGAAGAGACTATACATAATTTTGGGTGAAAATTTTTCTGAGGCTTCTTACCTCTCCTCCTTTTAAGCAAATCTCTGAATGGCGGCAGCCACTGCATGGAATTTTTGAGGCTGCTAAAGGAAACGGCATAACAACTCTCACCCATCACTTCAATTCATAGTGCAACTGACAAAAAGCAACATTTTGCCCTGGATTTCTGTGTTTAATCTTGCTCACTTGAAGTGAATTTACACAGATAAAATATCAGACTGCTTCTTTTTGTTTGTAATCTGTTTAATTCCTATCAAATAGTCTTTATATTAAAAAGCCATTAATGGAATCCTGTCCTTCTGAAATAAAAGCTAAAATACCAACAGCTTTCAAGGGACCAGGTTTCACAGAAGGGCAGAAGTTGGAAGAGATATCTGAAGATCATCTTGTCCAATGCCTGTGCTCAAGACAGGGTCATGTAGAGCAGGTTGCTCAGGATCTTGTTCATCTAGTACATTTTGGTTTTCAGTTAGAGCCATTTCCCATTTAGTTCCATGCACCTTTCATTTACAAGAAATAAAACACTGAAACAACTAAATGTGCTGTGACTAACCACAATCTAACAGTGTTCACATACAGTATTTCTGAATAGCTGAGGTGATAATGTTCATCCAGATGCATAAATTAATTCCTTACCTGAAGCAAAAATATTTCCTCTAAATCTAAAATGAACTTGCTCTCCTTCTCTTAATGAGAAATGCTGTGTAGGTTCTGGGGGACCAAAGTAGCCCTCCTCATGGAGATTTTGAATTTCCCAGGTCAATTCTTTGGATGCAGATAGCAAAACTACTATTTTGTATGGGTTTTCTCTCTTCCAAAAATCCGATATAGTATCACATTAGCCATTGTGCTACAAACAGCTTCTTCCAGAGCCTGAGCAAAGAGGAGAAGATGCGTGTTTTCCAAGAGGAACGAAAGGCGAATGACAACAAAACTATATTAAAAAAAAAAAAAAAGTCAAGAAAATAAATAGCTCTATCTTAAATCATTTTATCAACTGGTAACAATTTCTTATGCAAAGTAATACAGAGCTCAGTCTCCAATGGACCTTTTGCTACCTCCGTTTCATTCTTGTCTCCAACATATGAAATGGTGGAGATTTGCCTGCTTCTTTAGTGTAGAGTATATTGACTCTGTATCTATGAATTCAAATGCATATGAATTTTAGATGAAAGATAGTATTTCCTAATTAAAAATTCCAAAAAATATGATGGTTTTGTAGTTGGAGAGCTAAATCACATTTTCAAATTAAGAATAATACCTACATTTCCTGTTTCACATTTTGTATATATTACTTTGTGCACAGTCTATAGATGAAAAAATATTTAAATTTATATTTTCTGCAATTATGAGTAACAAATCCAAATGTTCTTATACTGCAAAGTGGAATTAAGAGATGCTGGCAAGTTAGTAATTAAGAGTAAATTATTTTTTAACTTTACTAATTTCCATTGATCCATATATTTGGAAGTAAATATTTTAGTAAATAAAATTTTATTCGATTATTTATACTTTACCTTTCTAAATGCTCATTTAGTTCAAATGATACAAGCCCATTCCGAACATTCTGGATAATAACATTGTCAAACACCTTCCACCCCTCTTCCTTGTTTCTGTGACCTACTAATTTCAAAGTATCACTGAGATTCTCTCCATTTTTTCTCACAGAAGCACTCACAGCCCTGGAAAGACAAGGAATTATAGGGAAAAATATAAAGAAAAAATGGATCCTGCAGAAAGCGAAAGCTTGTACTTGTAGCTCTGCTTTCTCTTCTGCTTTCCTTCATGAATACATGTGTTTTTCCCACCTTGCTGAAAATCTGCACCTGGAACTATACTCCAGAGTATGTAAGTGATAAAATTGTTTAAATAAATTGTTTAAATTATTTAAATAAAACTAGTTTAATCTATCATTTAATATCTTGCACAGTTATTATTCTGGATCGTTTTTGAGTCATTGATCAAGATTTAGATTCTCTAGAAGTAGATATCTGAAAAAAAACCCCAAACCACCACTTCTTCCAGAAGGAAATATTACCCAGTAACCACAAAGGAATTTAGAAAACAAGACATGACTGCTATCCATTATCTCTTTCAACAGAGAAAATAAAAGTAGCTTCTCTTCAAATCAGGTGATTACTTTGATATCACACTCAGAATCAAGCAACTGTGACATGACACACTCTGGCTAATTTATCTTAATGAACAATACGGGAGGTTTTTTTACAGAAGCACATAACTCTCACACACACCTCTTCTTGTAATTTTTTTTTAAACTGAATGTGAATAACCCATTCACCTCAAATGCACAACCTATGTACAAACCAAAAAAGAAAATACTCTGGACAGAACAGCCTAAGCATTTCTCAAGCATACAGCCTCAGCCTATGTGCAAATACAAGAAAATATTGGCACCATTTTCTAAAGAATTTCTGTAGAAATAAGCAATCAAGCTATGGTATTTTCATGGATGTGCTGTGACTGAGAATCAAAAGTACCATTTAGACTGGTATTAAGATCAGACAGATGCCATGAAGGTACTGCCATACAATGTAATGTTGAAGGTACAGGAAATGAAATGTGAATCTCCTATAAACTGACTTGGGCGCTCTTCTTAAGTCTGAGGTTTGTGATAAAGATTGACGTATAGCCTAAGAGATCAGTGTGAGAGTAAGCTCTTTATAACATGATCTGAGAAGTTTTTCAGAAATAGAAGTCTAGAATATTGTTTGCCTTCTCTATCTGTACCTTGCTTATTTTCAAGATAATAATAATTTTGGTGTGTAGATCTGGGCCTTTATCTAATGCGGCATTTACCACAAAACTGGCCTACTCCAAGTCATTTTGTCAGAGATTTTGAATTGGGTATCCATTGGAATGTGTAGAAGAAGAGATCAGAAAATTCAAAGGCCAGGATAGCCAAACCACCGACCAGTAAAATGATGCTTTGAGATGTGGTTATTCTCTATGTTCAATGTTTGGCTTTGGTGAAAATGCCTGAACATTTCTTGCTGAAAAATGCCCATGCATTTTTCAACCTGATTCCTGCCAGAAATAGAGTAGTCAGAATATTTAGAGATTATATATCAAATGCTATATGAATTTTCCTGGTGAAGCTATAGCATGAGAATTGTGTGGATTTGCTACAATGTTTCTAACAATGTTTCTGAGTATAACAGACTGTATTAAGGAATGAGCATGTTTTTAATACAAAAAAAAAATTATTAATCAGCAACTGTTAAAATGAATTAATTCTGATGTTTTGAAAATGCTGCATTTGTAGTGAAGTTGTTCTTACCGAGGTTGGTATGCCAGAGCAACCCTCTTTGCTGTAGCACTAATGGCTCTCACATGTTCTGTCTCATCTCCTTGTCTTTTTTTTACTGGGTTTGGAAAACAGGGTAGAGTAACAGTGACTGAGCTGTTAAATGTTTGGGCTGAAGGATGCTGGACATAAACCAGTGCACTAGTAGCTACCACTGCGTGGTATGTATCGTGTCTTGCTTTCAATGTTGAAACCAATGATGGTTCAATTGGCTGAACCTAAATATGGAAAGCAATCGTACAATTAACTTACAAATTAATAAATCTTCTCTTACACGCCTGTTTTTTTATAAATTGATTTATCTTTTGGAATTGGATTAGACTATCACTGAAGCTTTTAGGCTCCTCTATAACCAAGGAACAACCCTACTAATGTATCAGCACTTTATACAATGCACAACCAAGTTCTTGAAAGTCATCAAAAACTGGAACCTTTACCAACTATACTATTTTGATTGTTTTGTTCCTGCCTTGAGTTCAAGTTTTGAAACTCCTGAGCTCCCTCAAAGTTTGACAGTTTTCTAAGATTTTTCAAATATGTATTTTTTTCACTGTTAGTTTTAGCCTCTCTGTAACTCAGAATCAATGTTTTTCCAGGGCAAGGGAGAAACGCATTATAACTGAAGCAAATTTTGAGATTATTTTCAGCCTAAGACTGAGAGGTGACAAAACCTTCTGTTGCACTGCCTGGTACAAATAATGAAGGTCAGATAAGAAATTGTTCCATTAACTTAAACACCGGGCCAGGCAGTTGAAGTTTGGAGTTGATGCTTATGTCATTATTGAAAACAACTATATTTTCTAAAGTAGATCAAGCAAAGGTAGATGGTTCTTCTTTTTAGCTAGAGATACTGCTGACTACTGATGATATTATGTGGTTTTACCAAAGTTGACAGGAAGCCGTTTGTTGTGTATACAGTCTGTGGAGCTCCAACAACTTTTCACTTCTAATAATGGAACAGGTTGCCTTTAACATAACATTATTGTCATCCTTGCTTCAGAACTGATCAGTTAACAGACTTATTGAACAAGTATTGCATATTTCAAGCTCACCTTTAACTGCATGGGTGCTGGAGAACTGAATGTTTCTGGACGGTAATAAAAAGAGATTCTAGAATCCACGTTCAGCTTTTGTGAGAGTCCTGCCTTTGGAACAGTAAATATTTCTCTCTTTAAGCATGACAACACAGAAAAAACACCCAGCTGATAAATTTGCACTTCTGCAAAGTTTTCCTGCATAAAGAGAATGTGGAGTTAGAGTACATTGGAGTGAAAGGAAGCTGTGTTCCACAGTAGATTAACATTTTGAGAATGCTACATTTTTTATAGAGCAAGGTGTGAAATTAAGTTAAATATTATTGCCACCTGGATGCCCAGTAATCTGGTGATCTCTAGTCATCATATGATGTCATTAATATTCCAATGTATGACTGGGGTGAAATTAAATAAGCTCGTAAACTGGGCCATGAACCTGGCTCAATGCAATTCTTCTGCAGTCAAAAAAAGGACCATCCTGTGCTTCTCTGAGATGGAGTTTGAGCTCAGACACACAGAAATATGTTACTTCTCTGTGACCTGAATGCAAAATAATTCCCCTTAAGTTTTTACTTTTATCAAATAATGCAACATATTACACTTTTAAAAAATCGTGAACCATTACTCAATTATTAGCATTGTGGGTTCAAGCTAATAATAACAATAATAATGATAATGTCTTATCATTACGAGTGAAAAAAAAAGGACCTTGTTAAATACTAGGTTTCAAATAGAATTAGTTCTTGAGAAAGTAGGAAGAAAAGTTGAATTTAACCCCATGTAGTGGGCAATACGGCTTAATAATGACAACTGTACTTGTGTAACTCCACAAAGGTTTAACAGGGAACCTGGAATGATGTTCTTACAATGCTCAGATAAGAGGTTACCAACCTTACAGTTTCCTTGGTTACCCTCCAAAGAAATAGGAGTTAAGTAGTTTGATTGAAAGTTCACGTCAGTCACCTTCACCATAATCTCCCGATAATTTCCTCTGCAGCATGAAGTAAACGGGATTGCAATGTTGATAGGGAAAGGGATTGTTTTCTTATAATCAGAGCATTCAATACTGATGACATTGCTGACCAGCTCCTCCGAATCATCCACCACCAACGAACTAGTGTCGTTGACTATCTTACACTTCAGATTCTCCAGAGCAGTTGCAGGGGCTTTAATAAAACAAGCTACTTCTTTTTCATTCTTACCACTCTCTTCCACTAGAAATCTGGAGAAAAAGAATATAAAATATTATTCTTTGTATTTTGGGTGGAGTGGCATCCTGCATTTTTAGATAAATACTTTACTATAATGATGTGCTATGTTGTAGCATAAGCAGATCATTCATAAAAATATATGTTCATGAATAGATGGGAAAATCATGAAAATTTTTTTATTAGCTTGTTTCAGAACAGCTTACAAATTATTATGAAAGTGACTAATTGGGATCCTTTCCTATTGATTTCCAACACTTTGGGAATTGTTGGCTGCTATTCAGTCCCTCTATGGCATCAAAAAAAAAAAAAAAAAAAAAAAAGAAAGCAGTGACATAGAAAGTTACAGTTTACTTTAGACCAAATGGAAGATCTACATTGCACTTGCTTAAGTTGTAAACTGCTACTATATGCATGACCAGCAGCTTTTCAATAAATGCATTTTTGAGTTTCTGGGCCCACAGATGTTTGTATGTATGTTAATAAGCAATGTTTATGTACATCTGTTCCTAAAAAGGATAATATGTGCTTACTCTTTGTTCATCCAGTGCCTAGATTTTTGAACTTTTTCTGACTCATTCATAAAAAGATTCACAGCAGTAAGATTATTTGTTTGTGCTGAAGATGTAAAGGTAATTAGGTCATTCTTACAAATCTCATTATTTGTTTCCATTTTACTGTCTTCTGTTCTCTCTGTCAGTCTATGTTCTTCACTTTCTACCCCTTCTGAAGGTTCTTTGATTACTGCTTTTTTTTCCTTTTCAGAAAGATTCATGACAGTTCCGTCATAAATGTCTTTCGATGTCCCAGATAGAATACCTTCCTCCCTGCTCATAAGAGTGTCCTCAAAAGCCAGTTCTGGAGACTTTCCAGCAACAGAGCTACCTCCATGGGGTTTATCTTTTGCATTACAATCTTTTTTCCCTGTAACAGAGTTCATTAGCAGTGTGTGTTCACCATCTTCCTTTTTCATTGGAGGTTCTCTGCTAACGTCCTGTTCTATAGAAGATACATTTTCCGCTAATGATGCAACAATGTCTTTTTCCACAGTCTTAGTTTCACTTAGATGGTTTTTATTAACATTCTGACTTTCTGTCTTGTTCAGGGAAGGAGTTCTCTGGGATTGCTGACTGGGACTGGAAGATGCTTGCACAGACTCTGTTGCTTTTCCTTCAGAACAACGCACATCTGTTTCTCTAGAAGCATTTTGAGCAGGTTGGAACTGAGAATCATCATCTTGTCTGCAGCTAGAGACATAAAGTTTATTTTCTGTCTCTTGAAGGTGTAAGACTGTATTCATCAAATAATCCTTCACTTTCTGCAGACAATCTATAATTCCATTGTACTCTGTAGAAAAAAAAAATAGGTAACCAATTGAATTTTGCTATGAAAGCTAGGCAAAAATGTGAAAACTCTCATACGTACTTAATGAATCCCACCTAATTCCATACTGTCATTCAATACATGAAGCACAGTATATTTTCTGGCCTCCATTTAATATTTTTGCATTTATTGCTATTCAACTTAATTTCTGAATAATTGACTACATACAAGTACATTTGTGTACATGTCCAAATACAACTGTGTATTTCTCAAAGTACTACTGTGACAACCCTAATGAACATGTTTCTAATGATCAGACACCAGCTAAATTCTTAATGACAATAAATCTAAAGCATGGAATTGGTAAATAATAGTAAAATCAAATTGGGAGGAGCTTTAAAACTAAACCTTAATTGTATGGGAAATATTAATTTTATTTCCTTGAATTTTCCTTGAAAATTGAATCCTCCAAGATTCTAATGCATGGGTCTCTAATAAAGCTGTTAGACATGGACTCAGTATTAAACATGCTTAACAGCTTTGAATTTTTGCTATGGAGAACAGAGGAAACACAAAAACACAAGCACATATACAATACTGAAGTTCAGCCATTTGTAGCATCCAGTTATAGGAATGGTGCAGGTAGCTCTTGCATGTAACTAAAAACACTTGGTGAAGAAGGATGCACAAAAAGCGTACAATCACTATGTGCCATTCATGTAAGATTTTGTCTTTAACCTATTTATTTTATGATGTCTCATTTTTCTTACCCTACAGGTTTTCTTAGAAATCTTTCCAGATATTCTCCCCAAGAATTTCAGATTTATTACTTTTAGCTCTCTCCTCACCTTATGCTGTCAATCTCTGTAACTGGAACTGTGTCTTCATTAGTAAGGCATATTGCAAACCTCTCACAAGATTTCTTGCTTATTTCTGTTGGCTCTGTGAGATACTGGAAACCTTTGTTTTGCAGGTTAAATCCAGTGAAAGTCAATACAAATAAGAAAATTGCAGAGAATGAAACACAGTATGGTGGCTCTCCACTTAAAATGAACATAGACAGACAAGGGAAGGACAATAGAAAGGGCTGATACAAGTCTTATGGGAAACCACTGGCTTACATTCATTTTTTTCAATAACTTCATACAAGGTAAATTAATAACTCAAGGTTTTCAGCTTGGAAAATAATTTTATTGTGTAAAAATGTCATCACACATCAATGTGTGATGTTATATGATCTGGATAGGCCTTTCACTTTCATCTCTATTTGCATCTGATTAATTTAAACCTACAAAGAGTACATTTCAGAGTAAACATTTTTTGTTGTTGAACTCAGTCTAAAAATTATTCCTTTGCAGTACTTTCTCAGCTCCCAAATGACTTGTTATTGGTTTTTGACTATATTTGAAAAAGAAAAAAAAAAGTAAATGCATTTTTATACATATTTTTGTTTTTACTGTTAGTTCATGTTAGTTCAAAGAAAAAATTAAGTTTGTTCTAAGGTACTGCTGTTTTTCCAGGGGCCCTTTTACAATAGTGAAGAACTTCTAAATAGTTTAACAGAGCTGAGAAATAAAACAAAAAGATTGGAAATAACATAGCTTTGTTTGCATAAGGGGTTGTAAGACCACTTCCCTGTCTTACTGCAAGGTAAATTTTGAGCTTTGGCAAAACTTCCAAAATTAACCTGTTTCCTCACTGAATTTTGCGTTCTCTAAACAGAACAAAAACCACCAAAACAAATTGTGCAGCTCTTTAAACTTCCCTAAAATCAAATTTGAAGATTACAGTGTCATTCAAAACAATGCCATTTTCCTACATAGTGAGTGTAACTTTTCTAACACTGCAATGTTTGAAGCCAAGCAGAGACACGGCCTTGTAACTTTACACTTCCCAACTGTGTTGCAAGAAAAGACACTTGTTTGCATTCTGTTCCAAGGTTAACCTTGAAATAAGCCTTCTTTTGTGCTATCCTGCCCACCCCCTGGGCACCATCGCTTTTCTAATGCTTTGCTTTCTGTGCTTTTTTTGATGTTTGATAACATGGCTTTAGAATACAGTGGCATTTTATATGCAACTGTCTTCCAAACTTTTTGCTGCCTGTTTTATGGGAAGGCGTCAGATGAGGAAAAGTAGCTTTTTGGAAGGAGAATGATAGTGAATTCTTACAGAGCTGAAAAAATAAAATAATCATGTAGGCCATGCAGCCAATAGGGCAAAGTTAACTTGACCTTGGAGCCTCGAAACGGGTCTTTTTTATTGCAAAAATGTTCCTTTATTATTGAAGACACTTTATAAACCTGTATAATGAAGACTCATGACCACGGATGAGCACGGAAAGTGTGAGGAGGAAGGAGTGGCAGAGGAAAACTGCTGTGGACTGACTGCTTCCCCCACTCCACATCCCCCCACACCCCTTGGGAGCAGGAAGAGGTAGACAAATTGGGAATGAAGGAGTGAAGGTGACCTTGGAAAAAAGGAGGGGTGGGGGAAAGGTGTTGTTTTCGTTTTTTGTCTTTGCTTCTCACTATCCAAATCTATTTCAATTGGCAATAAATTAAATTATTTTTTCCCTATGTCAAGCTTGTTTTGCCCGTGACAGTAAGTGGTAAGTGATTTCCCTGTGTTTATATTGACCTGCAAGATTTTCCATCTTATTTTCTCCTCCTGTCCTGCTGAGGAGGGGGAGTAAGTTGTTGGGTGGACACCTGGTGTCTGATCAAGACAAACCTACCAAAACATTATATACACAAAACTTTGAAACAATTCTCTTCAGTTAATTTTATTTTTATCTATATATTTTTTCCTCACATAGTGAGAATTATGAGTCTCATACTGAATCTCATGTAAGAGACTCAAAACCGGTGTGATACAGTTGTTGAAATATGAGCTAATTTGGACTAATGGATGGCCAAATACTGAAATACTAACAAATGAAATGTAAGGTCCCCCAGCATCATCCCATGGCAGAACTTAGTGTCCAATATACCCAGTCCATTCTGTTTACAGGTAAGTCCCTCCATACTCACCTGGACTTGCAGTCAATTCCTTGTGTTTGTCATGAAGAACACTCAGCAAGTGGCAGGTGTCTTGAATACTTTCCATAATGTTCTCCAGCTGCTGACTGAGAGATCTGCTCAGCTCTTTTGTTAGAGAGATCAGTCTAAGCACAAAGTCCATTATACCTTCATTATCCAGATCACTTTTCAGAAGCACATCTCTTACTAGCAAGTTCAGGTGCCCGATTTTTTCCAGGAGTTGACCTGATTTGCTAGCAGGTGTAATCTTACCTTCAGCTCTTTCCATTTTATGTTTAGAATATGCTACTACAATTTTTCTAATGCTTAAATGGTTCCACAAGGTACTGTCCTTAGTTCAGACTTCTGCACTGTTTAGTGTTTGTAGCCTGAACAGTGTTTTAAAAAGTACTATATTCCACGCACACTGACAAATCAAACTCCATCTCAGAAACTCTGAGTTGGTGTTGACTACTAAAAAGTTACTAGGTGACAGAAAGGAGTGGCTCTCCCATAACTACAGACAAGGATTGCCAAGAGATGCCATTGTACACCATGCACCTTTAAGGAAGGTTATATAATTCAGTTTTATAGCAGTGACTTACATTTCAGGAGCTCTGAGCAATTTCTCACTTGAGTGGCTATAAATGACCAGTACCTATGAAATCAAGCTTAATTGTGAATTCATAATTATCTAGTCACCAACAGTGAGGAATTGCTTTCGTTGCAAGCTAACATTAAATTCTGTAGGTCACTTGACACCATTTTCTGACAACTGTATTTTATTTGTTGTTCAGAGACACCAAATAGGTGAGACCGATACAAAATGCTCTGCAGTCTGGACGATGTATCTGAATCGTATGTAGGTTTCAGCAATAGAAGAATCTGCAAATTTAATTTTGTGACTAGCAAAAATATTTTTTATCAATAGACATTTAAAGAAACTTGCAATGTTTTCTGAGGTGTGCCTACATAACAAGGGAAGAAACGTAAAGAAAAGCAGTAACAGCTGAAACTTCAAATAACTGAATCCTGAAATTTTGTTTGACACTTTGGGAGTTGAGAAACAAACTTTTGAGAAAAACATGAGCTCACTAAACTTAACTGTGGCATCCAGAATCGACTATATGGGGTTCACAAGAAAAAAGTACTGTCCTTAAGAATACCCCCATGCAAGCAGGCAGCACTGTTTTCCCAGGGGCTCACAACCATGCGCTCCTGGAGGCAGTCTGGGAGGAAGCAGGTCCAGTTCCTGGCAGGTCTCCTGTGCTGTTCATTGCCTTCCATGGGTGAAATCTGAGCACTGATGCCTCAACAACAGTGTTTGCAATGATTTCCATTTCACCCAACAAGTTCAGGAAAAGAAGTCTCACCAGGACAGCAATGAAAACAAGCAAAGGAACAGCACTGACTCTCTCTTACTGATGTTAGTTTGCATAGTGCTGTGGTAGGGCAGGACAGGCCGTAAGCCTTCATTATTAGAGTTCAGGACTAGCCTAAGTCTGAAATATCCAATACACTAAAATATTTTGTAATTTAAGAAATGCACTACACAAACTGTAGGTACAGTGGCTTTCCTACTAAGCATTCCTTTTTAGGGCCTGTTATAAATGTAATTAATGCAGCTTTAAACAGCAATTAAAATGGGACTGTGATATAAAGGCACACTGAAAAATGCATCTAAGCACTGCAAGAATGAATAAGGTAATGTCAGCAGAGTGCTTTGAAGATATAAATCACTGTGTAAATGTTAAAACAACAATGAAAGATATAAAGTTTCTTTAATCAAATGTATGAGTTGAAACCAGCTCTAATTATTAAATTCAAAAGGAAAGTTCCTTTTGACTCATTATAGCTTGCTTGATCACACTGAAAGTGTGCTGCACAGCTAACACAAAAAGGTATATGAATCATTAACCTACTTACCATTTCTGATGGTCCAGCATAGCCACATTTTCCCAAATTATTCCTAGGAAACTCTATAAAGAACATGTATTTTCATGTACAGGAAGAGAAATATGTCATCTTCCTACTGAAAATTTTTGGGATGTGTCAGGAAAGAAGAAGATGGGCAAAAAAGCATTATTATGTATTTACTGTATAGTATGGCATAGACCAACTTCTCAGTGTGGATCCATATTGTTCCCCTAACCATAGTATAGCTGGATTCATCCACTCTGGATGTTTTGCAATGAAGGTTTTTGCTGAGATTACTTCAGACCAAATAGACTAGTGATGTGCAGATGTGAGTTATGAAAACATATATTATTTTGAATAAAGCTAAAAGAAGATCTGATTTTTAAAAAGTAACATTTGTGTATGAAACAGATAATAATAAATGGCCCCGTTATGAGAATATGTTATTCATTGAATGTTGTAGAGCTTATGATTATCTGCTAGAACCCAAAATTGTAAACACAGTTTTAGAAGATATGACAAGAACTGATCTATATCAATGTTCTTTGCCGTAAGCAAACTGTTTTGTTTTGGGGTTTTTTTTTTGGTCAAAAAATTATATATCTAACTCCTGCTTCAGTTAACACAGGTTATCTGTATAAATTGTCTATAAATATTTGAAAGAAGACATTAGTTACTTTAGAAAATACATTTGTCTAAAACATATTCAATAAAAGATTATTCTGATTTTTTTAATGAGTAGTTGAAACAATTTCAAGCCTTAGAGATAAAAAAATCATATTAGTCTTCTCTGTAAACATGAGTGAAACATGCAAAAAAATAAGCTTTTGTAAAAATATGAAGAACTACATGGTATAAGGGTCTGCAATTATAGAGTGGTCTGTATAAGAATTTATTGTAGATGCAATTAGATAAGCTACATTCTTACTGAAGCAGTTACTACACAAGCACTGCTATTGGGAGACAAGAATTTTGAACACATGATTATATATCATGTGTCCCGGGTTAAGCTGAGACAGAGTTAGCTTTCCTCATAATAGCTAGCAAGAGGATGTGTTTTGGATTTGTGCTCAGAAGAAAGCTGATAAAAAGTGATGTTTACATGGCTGCCAAGGTCTTTCAGCTTCTCTGTCTGTCTACAGACCGGAGAAGCTGGGAGGGAGCACAGCCCCAGTTACTAGCCCAGGATTTTGTCTTAGGTTCAGGATTGAGACCCAAAGTGGCCAATAATCTATTCCATAACATACACGTCATGCCCAGTATATAGGTGAGGACCCTCCGGAAGATCGGCCCTTTTGGTTCCGGATCTCTTTTCTCTGGGTCATCTCGCTCCAGGTGGTTGCTCTCCCAAGGCCTTCCCCCCCCCCCACCCTGGTTAGCTCTCAGTTGGGATGCTCGGACTGTTATCTCTGTTCCGTGAGTGCGGTTTCGGGACTCTCCCTGCTCCGGGATCGTTAGCCGGGAACAGGCTGAGCCTTGGTCATCGGGTGGGGGGCAGTATCACTGTGTATCACTCATTTGTATATTTGTATATGGTATTATTTTCAATATTATTGTAGTTTAGTTTTTAAATTGTTCTTATCTCAACCCACGAGTCCTTTTTTCCCTTTACCCCTTTAATTCTCTCCCCTGTCCTCGGGTGGGGGGAGGGGAATTGTGTGAGTGGGTGTGTGGTTTGGCCCCCAGCCAAGGGCAAACCCATCACACATGGAATCATGGAATCATTTAGGTTGGAAATGTCAAATCTCATGACAAAAAATGAGGCAGTAATGGCAATTCAAATTACAGTTGACTCTTAGAGCTTTTTTATTCTTCAGCAGTAGTAAAGAGAATGTAAATTTACGTTGTCTGATGGTCAATATGTGAAGGTCTTTAAATTCAGCTATTCCTATAACAAAACCATAGTTAAATAAAAATAGGTCCCACATCCTATTTTACTTTTAGTCCCAGTGTTGGACTGTGAAAACCTGTTATTTGTGATATTTTGCTACTAAGTCACCATTTCTCCTTACTTGAAGAACAGTGATAAATTATGTAAGTGAAGTTTATTAATTTTGATGCTATTTAGTGGATAGTCTTGTGATTTAAGGGTTGTGTTTATGTACCACACTCGTAGGTATGTAGTTATTAGACAACATAACTATAAAGTCTTTGGGAACATACACCTTTTAGTTGGCACTAGCTCTTGGCCAAAGAGATCCAATTGCAGTAGTAGCTTCCAGGGCCCTGTGTGCAGCCATAGGCTGTCATGGCCCAGAGCAGGCTCTCACGGTGAGTGCAGGTGATTTATCTGGGCTGTGTTTGAAGCTTTCTTAACGCCGCAGATTGTAAAAGTGAATGTTGCTGAAATGAAAAAAATAAAACCAGAAAACATGAAGGGGAAAGGAAGTAGAGAACATGAGTCATTCAGAAATATTACAGAAAAGTGAGTGTGTATTCTCTGAAAATACACAACTTCCTATATGAATACATAGTATAGAGTGTACTGAAGAAAATACAGTGTAATAGATGACATACGTGAAAGAGGAAGTGCTTGCAATGCAATATGATAAAGAATCCAGTACAAAGTTTATTTAAATAAAATTTATATCATACAGTTAATGCTGGAGTTTTACAATCACTTTAAGCTTATATTTTCATTAAGTTAAATTTGGCCTGGATTAGTTACCTGAGATGGTTTACTATGCAGCACCCCAGCTACAAACAGGAGGTTGAGACAGCAGGAATAGGCAGACTTGGTAAGGACAGTATTACTCCATTCTCCAGCAGAGTCAACTTTAACAATGAAACTATAGTTTGACCTTTCAGGTCCTCACAGCTTAGTTCTCCATTGAGTTTTGCCTTTCTGAAGAGTGATCCTGCTCTTCAACAAAACTACATGAGGAAAAAAACAAAGTGGAAAATTTGCTCTGTGCTTGATTTTGTTTTAAAACAATTCCTATTGCTTAGTTACTTTCACTTTTAACTATATTCTCTAACTATTCAAAGAGTCCTTAAAAAACAAGAGCTTTTTCATCCATATGAAATAGTAGCCGTGGATGTAGGAAGAGCAAAATGTCAAATTTAGAAAATAAGGATCAAAGTATACATTTAAATTAAGTTACCATTTAGCAGATGTACATGTTCACTTCAGAATACCTTAACACTGTTACTTAGCTGATAACAAAGGAAGTGGACTTTGTTCTGCTAGGAAAAGAGATTAAACTGTATGATGCAGACCTAGTAAGTTCTGTCTTTATACTCTGTATATAGTGCAAAGTTCAGTGTGTGATAATAAATGCATTTTGGTGCATTTATTAATCTATTCAGATCAGAAAATATGTATGTTTTTTCTTCCTGCATCTGGTACTCTAAGGCCTAAGTGCGAAAACA